AAAATACTAAATGGATCCATTAGGCACCTGAAGCAGACTGACTGAACAGCTCCTTCTTCCCTGCAGAGGTTAATGGCCCTAGTCAACTCCAGAGACACAAAGGATAACGTTAACATTTCCCACCTCCAGATCGTCCTCCATCTGCTCAGATCTAATATGTGGCTATCCACATGAGTCAGGCCCAAATGATGAAGGACAAGAGGAGGGACAGGGCTGCCGTGATGGCTATGAATTCCTCAGCCACCTTTTACTCTCCTTCCCAAATGTGGCAAGTTGAAGACCCCCCCACAGAACCAGGATTAAAATCACAACAAAAGGAGCTTGATGCGCAGCAATGAAAAGGCCCTGTCCCTTCCATGAGAGATTGGGCAAAAAACCCTTCGTAAAACGCTACAAAGTGCCCTTACAAGAAATGCATGTTTGTGTAATTTGCTATGCATAATCATTTCCATTCAGAATGTTCATTTTTCCTTATTAGTATATTTTGGCAGGAATAACTTGATATAGGGCCAGTGGAGGGATTCAAAATGTTTTATTACCGGTTCTGTGGGCGTGGCTTGGTGGGCATGACATGGCTTGGTGGGTGTGGAAGGGGAAGAATACTGTAAAATCTCCATTCCCTCCCCACTCCAAGGGAAGGTTACTGCAAAATCCCCATTTCCTCCCAATCAGCTGGGACTCAGGAGGCAGAGAATGGATGGGGGAGGGACCAGTCAGAGGTGGTATTTACCGGTTCTCCGAACTACTCAAAATTTCCGCTACCGGTTCCGCTACGGCTATATTCAATATACCTGTTGAATACCACCTCTGGGTAGGACGCGGGTGAGCAGGGAAGCCAAAAGGAGATAAAGGAATTAGTGCATGAGTTAGAGTAATGCTGTAAAATTTGGCATAGTCTAGAAATGTTGGTCACAACTCTGTGAAAGCTGAGGAAGGTTGGAAACAGAACCAGTATTTGCTGACAAGGATCAGGGTATCATTCTAAGAGCCTGAGACAAATGGGGAATATCTTTGTGTCGGGGAAAGCCGCAGTACAAGCTGTGAAAAACCACTTGTTTAAGCTGTAACCTTAAGTGAATTGTCACAGGGAGCATGTTTTCTCCTTGCACCACCACTCAGCACGTTATTTTATGTCATCATCCATCCAATAATCTTCATAGTGCCATAAGGTCCTTCCATGTTGTATATATAGGCAGAATGTACTGCTGATGGTTGTGTGCAAACTCGCGAGAAAAAAAAGCAAACCAAAAGCAAAAAAGCAAAATCAAGATTTTCTAGACTTTCTTGTATGTGGATGGAGAAAATTATTTTTAGATGGAAAAAGACATCAAAATGGGAGCTGCAAGGGATTTCTAAAATGCTGTCTAAATGCTTGGTGGGTTATTTGTGTGTCAAGCACGTTTTTCTTCAGCCTTTTCCCTTTCTTAACCTCATGGTCCTTTAGAACTATGGTATGTTTTTAGCTATTAAAGCAAATGCCACTTTTTTTCCCACCACTGATAAAAAGTGATCATCTGAGTACATGTGTTTGTGCCATTTAAATTCATTTTAGCCATGAAGTGAATTCAAAATAGAATGACATTTCTGCTGGCCAAATGCTAAACTTACTTACTTGGTAGTAAGAATGCTTTGTTGTAGAAAATGACTATAGTTAAGTGAACTGAATCGAACAGAATGAAGTGAAATATTTTCTGCCCAGCCATTCCTGATCTAGAAAGATGTTTTTAAAAATACAAAGGAAGAAAGCTGTGGGGAATAACACTGGCCAGGGCAGATCCCAGCATGCTTATGAAAACCATAAGCATTGGTTCTGGTAAACTTGGACTACCCGTGAGAATTGGGAATTGAAGGACCATTTTACTCTTCTTTCCAAGTTGATGTTGGGGAAGAAGTCAAGTCCTTGGGACTTCAATATGGAATGCCCCAGGACTTGACCCTCTCTCCCATTAGATCTAACATTAAAACTCTGGGAAAGACCCTCCACATCTTTGTGGAATCATCAATTGGTTGATAATACAGGTAGTCCTCAACTCATAACTGTAATGGATCCTGCCCATTATAAGTCATGACAGTTGTAAAGCAAGTCACCATGTGACTGGACCCATTTTTATGACCTTTTTATGGCTGTGATTAAGCGAAGGTTGTTAAGCGAGCCATTTTTGTCCAAAACTAGAAGAAAATGCTGGTTTTGGGCAAAAATATTGTAAATCACATTTGTGTGACTGTGGGATGCTGCAAACCACCATAAATGCAGGCCAGCTGCTAAGCACCTGAAAAGCGGTCATGTGACTTGGCAGGGAGTAGCTATTAGAACTTTGGGGCCAGGTTGTAAATTTGACCGGTCATAGTTCAAGGACTACCTGTATCCAGCTTTACACATCAACATCAAAGTAAACAGGAGATATACAAAAGTCCTGAGGGTCTTCATCTGGAGGCTGCCAGGAATCAGATAGGGGGTATATTCTAGCAAATACAGAGTTGTTGGTGATTCAGAAACCTTTTGGTACCATAGATGTTCCATCTATAATGATAGGATGGTGTGATGACACTTCTGTTGGAACAGCAGATGAAATATATGGCCAAGAGAGCCTTTGGCCAAAGTTGGGGGTATATCTATGCACTATGCCCTGGACCAGAAGGCACCATAAACATATTTCTGCTAGATTGCTACACTTTGCTTTATGTGGAGCTGCTCTTGATGATGACTCAGAACCCGCAGCATTAGCTAGTTTAGCAGAATAACATTCTGCAGAAATTGCATGGGCTGTTGATGGGATTCCAGGCCCAATTCAAAGTGCTGCCAATTACTTATGAAGCCCTTATGTACTGGACCCGTTATGTTTGGTAGCATCTTCTTCACATACAACCCCCCACTCTACACAACGAAGTAAAGAGGATGCTCCAGGTACTTGTCCTCAGAGTGCAAGGGAGCTGGGACCTGGACAACAATATTCTCTGCAGTAGAACCCTTTCTCTGGATCAGCTTGTCCCCACGAAGTCAGATATGTCCCTATTCATGGTGGTGTTTCTCATAACAGCAAAACAGTTTCTCTTCAGGAGAGCTTCAGATTTGCTGGATCATAGCAAGAGTTTATGTTAACAGTATTTCCTACGAAGATTTAGTGCTTTTAATAATTTGTTTTTATTACTATTTTATTGTGTTTGCTGGAAGATGCCCAGAATTATGAGCCTATCTCCTAAGAAGTAAACAAATAAATCGGTCCTGGGGTTTGGCTATAAGGCCCAGCCTCAGTTTCATCATCGCATCAAGGCTCCTGACAAGAATTGAGCAGCAATTGCACGGGGAGAGGAAAACAAGAACAAGTTCCCGTAGAAGAGAATATTTGCAGCTCAGGGGTTCTTCAGTGCTCTCTGAGCTTGCTTGTTTTCTTGTTGCCCCTTTTATATAAACAAAGAGCAACCCCATTCCCTTCAAGCACTGATGATGTTACTTAATTGTATTTATTTGTCATATTTAAGAACCACCCAGCTCTTTCACAGAGGGTGTCTGGGCAATGTGCAGTAAAACAATTGGGTAATGAAATGTCTGCAGAAAACAACTAGCCTCAGAGAGCACCAACGACCTCACACAAGAACAAGTATTTAAAGGTGTGGGATGATAGTATATCTAGCAATTCTGTGTGTCCATCCATATCTATTTATACACAGAGATAGAAAAAATATATATCTAGGTTGGGACAATGTGCCAAGTTCTCCATGTTTTTAACCATCTCAATTTTTTGCAATTTCTTTCCGCGGCCACCAGGGGGAGGAGAAAAGCTTTTAGACCTGATCTCTACATCAGTATCTTATGGTCTCCGGTAAAGTGGGTGTGTGCCGTAGAAGTTCAGTTGTCTGCATTGCCCATGACTTGCATCTTTTGTGCGCACCGAATGCATGTCCGGAGTTTCATGCAGTGCGGATGAGCAAACCCCTTTTCTCAAAGCGACGGGACCCAGCTTCTCTTCTGCACCTCTCCTGACTTGACTGTGAATCCGTTTCTGCCACAGCTCCTGGGAAGCTATTTGATGGCAGGCAAAAGGCAGAAAACACAATGTGCGAAGAAGATTAAAATCACCATCGGCAAAAAGAAGCGGCCGTGAAAGACGGGATTGCTGGAGTCTTTCCTTGCTTCAAGGATTAGCCCAGCCTTTCACTCTCCGCTGTGCCTTTTCTGGAGCGTAATAGACTATTTTCCATTCCCATATCAAAAAGGATATCATTTCCACTGCGGAATGATTATGGGCGATCCGAATGCTACCGATGACGCCTTTTCTTTTTAAAAGTAAACCCCAGCTTTAGGGATACATGAAAAGCTCCCCCGCCTGCGCTTCCCTGCTAAGATACAGGTTCATTAATATGAATGCGATCTTATTTCGGCCCTGCTCTTCTGCCTCAAAGGCCGGTTTCATTCATTCAGCTGCTGCGTCTGGTTTCCAACTCCAGAACCGGGAAGAGAGGTCAGGTGCTCTCTTCCTCCTGCCACGGTTGGGGGCAAGAAGACCCTCACCCGCGCCCAATAACCGCATAACTCCCCCCCCACACACACACACTTCCCTTTTCCAGAAAAGACGAAATCCCCTCCCGCGAATCGGAGGGGGTGTCCCAGAGGCAACCGAGCGGACACTTACTCACAAGTAAGCGCCGCGCCGTCCCGGACTTTTAGCACGGGGCGCTTCTGGCAGGCGGCACCGGGCACCCAGATGCCGTCCGGCCACAGGGTGGGCCGGGTCGCCTGGATGGGAGATGGAGCAGGGCGGGCCGCTGGGGTGATCGCCCTCCTCCTCCTCCTCCTCTTCTCCTCCTCCTCTTCCCCCGCCCGGAGTAAGCAGCCTTTGGCAGGACGCGGCGGCTGGGTGGCTCCCTTCCCCCCACCCCCCCAGTCGACGGGCTGCAGTGCGGAGTTCTGGGCTGCATGCAAGGGAGAGGAGGAGCGGGGAGGAGCTTGCCTTTCTCCCCCCACCCCCACCCCCACCCCCCCCGCTCCCCAATCCCCGACCGATCGTTTATAAAGCAGCATCTCCGGACTCATCGCCTTTTGCTCCTAGCCACCCACCGCTCGGACCTGCTCGGAGCCCAGCCCAGATTAGCAGCCATGAGCCATTCCGGCAGCATCCGCGCCACTTCCTACCGCCGCACTTTCGGGCCGTCGGCCATGCTGTCGCCGATGCCCTACTCCTCCTCGTCCCGTCTGGCCTCGGCTTCGTCCGCCACGCGGTTTCTGAGCACGCCTTCCGCCGGAGCCTCCCTGCGCTCCTACCGCGGGAGCGGCGGCGGGGGCAGCGCCCTGTTCCTGCGCACCGGCGCGCCGGGGATGGTGGCTGCGCCGCCTCACCGCTACGCCTACAGCTCCGAGAAGCTGGACTTCTCGGTGGCCGATGCCCTGAACCAGGAGTTCCTGGCCACCCGCAGCAACGAGAAGCAGGAGCTGCAGGAGCTCAACGACCGCTTCGCCAGCTTCATCGAGAAGGTGCGCTACTTGGAGACGCAGAACGCCGCCCTGCTGACCGAGCTGGGCCAGTCCCGCTCTAAGGAGCCCACCCGCGCCTCCGACCTCTTCCAGGACGAGCTCCGCGAGCTGCGCCGGCAGGTGGACTCGCTGGGCAAGGACCGAGACCGCCTGCAAGTCGAGAGGGACAACCTGGCCGAGGACTTGGCCGCCCTCAAGCAGAGGTGAGTCCCCCAAAACTGGATAACTCGGGGGTGCGGTGGGGGGGGGGGGGGGTCCGGCCCGGATCCGGGGAATGAAACGAAAGTTTGAGTTCCCTGTCCGGTTTTAGAACAGAGGTGGGGCAGATGGAGCGAATGGGTTAATTAAACGTATAGAAAATTCGCTCTCTTACATTGGAATAGCAAGGGGGCGTCCAATAGAGAGGAAACGTCGGCTTTTTAAATTGGGCTGAATCTGTCCAGTTTGCTTTAAAAAATCATGTCTCTGCAGCGCTAAAAGAGAATGCCTCAAACATATGCAGAGTGCTTTTCCTAGACCCAAATTCAGAAGACTCAGGTAACTCCCTGTCTTTGAAAAAAAAAAAAAGGAAGGGTTTCTTGCCAATGATGGGGTGGTTAGCTGAGGAGTTGGGATGGACTTCCAAAGAGAAAGGTGATTGATTACAGGAGAGATCAGCTGGCCCCAAGGAGGGCACAGGGGAAAATAAAAAGCGAACTGTATAAACTGATGGCTCTCTGCACTTTGTAACATAATGAATAAATTAGTAGGAGCCGAATAATGTATGCCTGCTGAATAATGGATGTATAATAATGGATTCTTGTTCTTTGCTACCTACCGGTATATAGAAAGCAAAGGTGTATAGTTTGAATAAAAGAATAACGGCATAAGAGTCAGAAGACCGGTGTCTTTGCATTGTAGCCTTTTATCCTCTGTGATGATAAAGGAATTCTAATGATTCGGATCTCCTGGGTCAGGAATCCGGTTTATCTCCTGCCTTAAGAAAAAAAAAAGTTGGGCTGTGTTCCTTAGCAAGAGTAAGCTGCTCTGAACGCTGTAGTAGTGAGACTTTCCTCCTTTGTGGGCAGCTGTGTCCCAGACTCATTCTGGGTCTCTCAAAGTGTTGCATTTAGGAAGAAGCAGAAGAAGAGATAGCTGTCAGGCAGACCCTGTGTCACCATAAAGAAGAGTTTTAGTATATCAGAGGTTGGAGGGGAAGGAAGCTGCCCAGCCTTGGACTGGGGCGCAGAAGAGAAGATGCAGATGGGGTGGGTGTGCTGTGCATAGAAAAGAGGTCCTTGAGATGAGCTTGTGGGGGGGGGGGGGGGGAAGGGGGGGAGGGGGGGGGGGGGGATGGGTCTGGCAGACATGACGTGATGGGGAGGAGGGAGGGGGAGGCTATTGAAGGGCAGCAAGGCAAGAAAACCAGGCATTTGGAAAAGAGGAGGCTGGGCTAAATATGGGGTGGGGCAGGAGAATCGGGTGGGGAGTGGGAAGAGGGAGGAACCTTCTGGCCCAGATGGAACTCCACCACTTGTTTGGCTTGGTGGCAATCTCTTCTGTGACACCTGGGAAGCCCAGGGAAGGGATGTAGCAGAGGACACCCTTAGGAGACACTCTCTGGTTGGAGATCTCTCTGAATGGCGGTCAGAGGACATGGAAGAATCAATGCAAATTGGCAAAGGAAAGAGCAATGGTTTGCAGCTAGGGTTGCAAACTCCAGGGACAAACGACAACGACGATGGGGACCCAATGGCCTTGCAGGACCCTGCTTCTTTGCAGCAGAAATGTTTTTTTCTGCCTTTTCATTTATTTTTCATACATATTTATATTCAAGTGGAAGAGAAGTGTGACTGTGTTCCCTTGGGCATTGTGAAATGTGGTTGGTTCTCCTCCAAGCTGGCAGGGCTCCTGCTGTGGCAGATGGGGAGGTGGGAAGAAGGGAAGAAGAGATGAACATTAGATGCCAAATCTTGGAAGAGAGGCAGCTAGATTCATTTAGATATGCAAAATATTATGGAGCACCTTCTTTTCTAATATATTCTCCTCCTTCTTCCCCATCTTACATGTCCTCTTGGGACAGGAAAAAAAATAGAAGTTATCCTCCAATATCCACATTTTTCAGATGCTTTGGTTTTTACCCAAAATAGTCTTATAAATTATTAATTCTGCAAGGAGCATGGAATGAAAATGGTTTCTAAAAATCAATTTTCAAGCTACTTAACTTCATTCCAGCTGCATCTCCACTCTTTCCCATTTCTAGTGCTTTCTTCTTTTTACTTTAGAGGTCAGAGAAACAGTGAACAGGGATGTTACTTATTTATTTTTAATGGTGCCTACGATACAGTGCAATTATTTTAGGTTGCAGAGAGGTTTATGTAATCTTTTAATATCACATGCATAGGTTAAGAATTAGGTGTGATCAATGTCTAGAAGCAAGAATAAGGCCTGAATCTTAACTCGTATAGCACATTTGCCAAGCTGTTCTATTTTGCTTGGTTGCCTGAAAATAGAAGTGAAAAAGAGAAGAGATGGAATATTATTTCTGGTATCAACGTGTGTTTAATTATGTGGGCTAGGGCTGAGTTTGCTTAAAAGTTGTGGACCGCATCGGCGAGATGATAGCAACCAATTCTGTAGCATTCTCTCCCAATTTCTGCTTTGGGGCTGCTCTCTGCCCTCTACAGGATGGATGAGGAAATGCACAAGCGAGAAGATGCTGAAAACAACCTGGTTCTCTTTCGCAAGGTGAGCCAAGCCTCTTCTGGACGGGAGAGCACTAGAGGAGGGAATGGCATGCTTGGCTCCCACACCCCCTTATACGCCCCTCCCTGCATGGGTCCTTTCAGATTCATGATCACCCTGCCACGTGCAGACAGCCATGCTTTTTTGTTTTCTTGTTTACATGGCAACGCATGCACGCGTCCATGTTTGTTTCTGTGGGTTCATATGCTTTAAGCTGCAAGCCTTGTTTTTGAAATCTCTGTTTGGCAGCTGCGTAAGCTTCTGATTGTGCTGGAAGCACGCTCTGTCCCTGGAATCCCAGGCCAGCAGCAGGCCACCCGACGACCCCTCTTCCCATTCTCTGCGCTGTCCATTTTACTCCTTAAATTAACATGGAAAGTGGTAGGCAGCTTGCTGGGGTTCTGATCAGCCTTCCTTTCCCCCTCCCCAACCCCGCCCCCTCCTGTCCCCCCTGATAGGATGTGGACGATGCCACCCTTTCACGCCTGGAACTGGAGCGTAAGATCGAGTCCCTCATGGATGAAATTGAATTCCTCAAGAAACTGCATGAGGAGGTAAGGAGTAGTAATGGGCTGGCATCAGGGGTGAAATTCAGCAGGTTCTGGAGAAGCAGTAACAGAAATTTTGAGTAGTTCGGAGAACTGGCAAATACCAGCTCTGACTGGCCCCAGAGTGGGGTGGGAATGGAGATTTTGCAGTATCCTTCCCCTGCCACGCCCACCAAGCCACACCCACAGAACCGGTAGTAAAACAAAATGGATTTCACCACTGGATGGTGTGCAACTGATGCCCCATTCACTGGCTAATAGATTTGGCTTTTTTGAACAACTGTAGATCTATGTGAAACAGGACCATTTGGGGGCTGCTGTAGGAAATCATCCTATCCCATAGTAGTGTATCTTCCCAAAGGTAATGGTATCTCAGTCATGGAAGGAGGTAGGTGGTGCCACAATGAGCAGAGCAGATGCCTCAAGAAGGATGATGGGAGACTAATGTAGCCAGGATAGGAAATCCCATGGCTTCTAGATCCTCCAATCCCATCTATTACGCTTGAGAGTTAGAGATGCTGGGAGCTGGAAGTTCAACAGCATCTGGAAGGTGACAATTTGGATTTGGATTTGCAATTATTATTTTTTTAAGGCAACCCTGCAGCAAAGATGTTGCTTCTGGGCCATCTAGTGGTGCCTGGCAGGAAAACATCTGCATCTCCAGCCCCACCCTTGGTTGCGTGGGCTGGATGACTGGTCTGCACTGTAGTTTTGCAGGGCAGATCTACTTGAGGAAGTAATACAAGTGGCTGGTGGTTGCTTTTGCATTTTAATGATCAATGCGAATATATCTTTTGGGTGTCTCTCTTCCATGTGATGTTGTTTCTGAGCAGTTCTCTGTCAAGATTGTCTTCTCTGTGCTGTGTGCTTTTCGCTACTGAATTATGGTCCCTAATCTCACCTACCTGTTTACGTAGTATGGCGGCGTATGTGATGCTAAGGATCTATCTTGGTGTGTCTGATAACCTCTCCCCACCCCCCACACCCCCCGCCTGATGCATACAGGAGCTGAACGACATGCAAGTGAGCATACATAGCCAGCAGCAGGTGCAAGTGGAGGCGGAGCAGACTAAGCCGGATCTGACCGCCGCCCTGAGAGAGATCCGCACTCAGTATGAAAGCATTGCGGTCAAGAACCTGCAGGAGTCCGAGGAGTGGTACAAATCCAAGGTGCCTAAACTAGGGGGGGGATAAGAAAGAGGAGGTGGGGTTACCGCGCGATTAACAGGATGCCTTTGCGAAACGTTGTAGAGAGTAAGGAAGATGACCTTAAGGAGGACTCAAACTATTGGGGGCAATATGCTGACTCTGTAAACCGCTTAGAGAGGGCTGTAAAAGGACTATGAAGCGGTATATAAGTCTAAGTGCTATTGCTATTGCTATTGCTATGCATTATTGATTTTATTAGATTTATATGCCGCCCTATTTCACTGTCCCATGACAAAAGAGGCTGGAACTTTTTTTAAGTCCAGGACAAAGAGATTACATTTGGAAATGGCTCGAGTAGGCACCTCTGTAATTCATCGGAGCAGTGTTTTTCTCAAGCTTAACCATTTTAAGATGAGTGGATTTCAACTCTCAGAACTTCCCAGCCAGTAGGGGGAACCCTAACATGGAATAAATGCTGTCTTTTTTGATGCATCAAGAAAATAGCTGCTTAGTGGAAAAGGAATTTTTTTATTACCAAAAAACGTATTGATATAGCAAAATAATAAACCACTTAGGGTGCAGGTTGACTCCCTCCTACTTCTGGGTTTACTTGACATGTGGCACAACGCCTCTTTGTCGCTCTTTAGATGCATGCGCTGATGTAAGGCTTGGTTGGAGGAAATTATTGAACAAAAAATTCATATGAAGCCAGTGTTATTCCTTTTGGGTATAGTAAAAGGAAATATAAGTAAAGAAATTCAGTACATCATGCGCCATATAATCACTGCAGCCATAATTACATTTGCCCAAAATTGGAAGCAAAAAAACACTCCATCAAATGCAATGACCATAAAAATGGTGCTAAAATGCGCAGAAATGGACAAATTAACGATGGAATTGAGGGACAGAGAGGAAACAGTGTATTGAGAGACATGGAACAGATGGTATAATTGGCTTGAAAAGAAGTCTAAAATCAATGTATAGTGAATGTATAGGGAAGATAATAAAACAAAAAAATATATAGAGTACAGTAGACATGTAAATATTGTATATATTATACAAATAAGTAACTATGAAATAAGAATGCGTATGTATAAAACAATAGGCCTATGGATAAATTGAAATTAAGAAAAAATTCTGATAAGGGAAAGCTGTAATAGTGTAATTGTGATTTTAAAGGTTAAAAATGTCGAATAAAAATATTAAAAACAACAACAACAAAGAAAGTAGAGGGACAGCCATAAATCAGACTGATGATGCGTATCAGATTTTCCTCACTGAGGGAAATCCAACCACTGCTGTAGAATATTACAGGTAATCCTTGACTTCTATGACCAGTTGCTTAGCAACCGTTTGAAATTACGTCAGACCCTGAAAAAGCCATTCGTGACTCTGATTTAAAGTTCTGACATTTGCCCCTCTCCCACCATCACATGACTTACAGTTTTGGCGCTTGCAGCCAGCCGGCATTTATTATGGCCATTTGCAGCATCCCACAGTCACACGATTGTGATTTATGATGCATGTGTCAGAAACTGGATCTATTTTTGATTTCCAGCAAAACCAAGCATAGCGAACAATAGGTTTGCTTAACGACCACCATAAAAAAGGTCATAAAATTGGGTCCGGTCACATGGTGACATGCACCGGTCACATGCTTTACAATCATCATGACTTATGACTGTAATTGTGGGCTCAATTACGGTCGTAACTTGAGGATTACCTGTATAAAGAATGGGTCCAATGCTGTGGTCCCTGGCTATTCTGTGAAATTTCCACAGAGGGAAAAGAGGCTCGTGAGAAGAGTTCTGTGTGGACCTTGGGCTTGTGTTATCAATTCCCCTCCAGCTAGATAATTGTGAATGAGTTCCGGTAGGATCTCGTTAGGAGTTATTTTGGGGTTCCTTCTTTCCCTTCGCTTGATGTTCCCAAATTCTTGGGTAGTGACACAGTGGTTAGAATGCAGTATTGCAGGTTAACTCTGGATTCCACTGCCAGGAGTTTAGTTCTCACTGTCTCAAGGTTCACTCAGCCTTCCATCCTTCTGAGGCTGGTAAAATGAGGACCCAGATCGTTGGGGGCAATATGTTGACTCTTTAAGCCACTTAGAAAGGTCTGTAAACCACTGCAGAGCCGTCTATAAGTCTAAGTGCTATTGCTATTGCTGTTCTTTGCAGTTTGCTGACCTGTCAGATGCAGCCAATCGGAATCACGAGGCCCTTCGCCAGGCCAAACAGGAGATGAACGAATCTCGCCGTCAGATCCAGAGCCTGACCTGTGAGGTGGATGGACTCAAAGGAACAGTGAGTAAAATACTCCTCCTGCTCTCAACCTGGTTCAGTAGCAGATTGTGGCATAGGTCAAAGAACAAAAGAGAGAGAAAGTCACCGGTATGCTGTCTTAGCTTCCCTGTGTCCTGCTCTGCATGGTGAAATCCCAAAGGAAAGATTGATTACAGCAATCAAATGTCTGGCTATGACCAGCAAAAATCCTGTATCATATAGGATCAAGGATTTTGAGAAGCCGTCTTCCTTCACCTGAGTCTGCTTGGGTTTTAAGACCTTCAGGTAGTAAGCACCTCGTTTCTGCTTTATCCTCACTGGAGCAAGTTTGACAGGAACACAATGGTGATAGCTCCTCCCAGGCTCTAGAGAATCACTACATTGACTCTGTCTTCTTCAACTTCCTGGTAGTGACAAAGACCTTGTTCAGGCAGTTTTGGGGCCGTTAGGATGATTTGTCAGTAACTGAAACAGGTATGGGTAACTAGCTGTTGTTCATTCTTTAATTCAGTTGCATTTTAATCAGTTTTTAAAATTTGGTCGTCAGTAGCCTCAAGCACCATTTATGATGGAAAGGCAGACTGCAAATGAAATAAATACAATAAAACGAAGAGGAGAAGCCGCCTTGAGTGCTATCAAGCTATCTGCACTCAACTGTTTTTAAAGCCTGTTGAGGCCAGAAGTTAGCTCTGCACCCCGAGGCACCTTAATTGCTTGTGAACGAGTGAGATTTTGGGGGTCGGCGTATCCATTTCATGGATGTCAATCTTGGTGCGGCTTGCTCTTCATCTTGCTAGAATGAAGCCCTGCTGAGACAGATGCGAGATCTTGAGGACCAATATGGAGCTGAGGTGGGCTCCTACCAAGAGACAGTGGGGCGGCTGGAGCAGGAGATCCAGCACATGAAGGAAGAGATGGCTCGGCACCTCCGGGAGTACCAGGACCTGCTGAATGTCAAGATGGCTCTTGACATTGAAATTGCCACCTACCGCAAGCTGTTGGAAGGAGAGGAAAGTAGGTAGGTCAACAGCGGTCAGATCCTGCCCTGATCATCTTTTAGGTTCATGGGCACATTTTGAATGTCATGGGTGCCACTGCTGAGTGGCTACTGCAGGCAGCATGGTAAGACACGAGCCTTGGTAGTACAGGGGTTTAAGGCACCCTGTTATTAAGCTTATTAAGACCAGCTGCCTGCAATTACTGCAGGGTTCGAATCTCGCCAAGGCTCAAGGTTGACTCAGCCTTCCATCCTTTCTAAGGTAGGTGAAATGAGGACCCAGTTTGTGGGGGCAATAAGATGACTTTGTATAAATATACAAAAGTATGAAGGCTATTGCTGAGCACATTGTAAGCCGCCCTGAGTCTTCGGAGAAGGGCGGCATATAAATCAAATTTAAAAAAAAAAAAAAAGACACAAAACACCGGAAAATGTAAATTGGTTTTGGACAGATAAGGACTTACCCAAGACACTGAGCATGAAGCAGACATGAAGGTTGAGCCACAAAAGCTACTGGTATTCATTGGGCTCCACCAATTTCTGCTCCAACACAACATCCATGTTGGTGGGTGCGGTCTCTTGCAAGGTCTTCCATCCAGCCTTCCCCCACATGTTGCCCTTCAGAAGCCTTGGGATTTGCAATTTTAAGAGTTCCTAATCAGCACAGACAGGAGCCACATACTGTGTGGGAGGCAGCTCTAACGCACCTAGAGAGCACCAGATTGCAGAAGGCTGACCATCTGAAAATTTCCTGTCCGCACCCAACCCGTTTTCTTTCCCTGAAACTTTAATTCAAACAAATGAGCCTTGCTCCTCACTCCTAAAAGTCTCCAGTCCTTTCTTTTCCTAACCTTCCTGATAGGTAGAGGCACTTCCCTGTTTCCACCAAACTTGCTCTAATGCTCTTTCCTCCATCTCCTCTCAGCATTTTCATATCGGGGCATGTGACCATCAGACCAGGTGTATGTAGGAAAGTCTCTGGAATAATATAAGCCAGTCTTGTTTTGTGGGATGCCTGGCATGTATTTTAGATAGTAGGAGGGGTGGGCACCAGAAGGTTTATCTACAGCTGTCTTGGGCAAGATACTCCTTTTTTTTACCTAGTTCTGAACAAAATTTTATAGGAGTATGTGAGAAGGAAGGCGACCTTCTCCTTTCTAGGAGGGATGCCATTTAAAAGGAAAAGAACTTGGAAATGAACATGTAGAAGTTTCCGTAATGCTCATTGTAATGGCCTGCTGTATATTCCCTGCAGGATTGCAGTGCCTGTCCAATCCATGGCATCTTTCAGCATCAGAACTGCAGGTGAGCCAATAGCCAGAATGGGTCCTCAATGCACCTGCATGCTTTGTGTTCTTTGACAAAGTTATGGGCTTCTGAAAGAGATGGTAGCAGTGGCATAGATGTCAGCAATATTCTGGTTGGACCCAAACATCCCTTTGGCCATATTCTGCACATGCTTTGTTTCTACCGAGCAATAACTTGAGGGGAGCATTTTGGCTCAATGGGAACAAGCTTGGTTTTTGGAGGTTCCCTTATCTCAAGTTGTACTGGCAATCATGCCTTAGCCTCAGTTGCTTTTTCTTGGAAAGAAACCCCAAGGCGCCTTCATTTCCCCCCCCTCCACTTTCCTTTCTTTCTAATTTCTCCCAGCTGGTAGCCAGAGGTCTTTCATGACGGGAGTTATGAGTGAAAGAAGATAACTGAGCTGCTGGGTGTTTGGGAGTTGTAGTTCTCAGTCCCCTGCATGACCCTGGATGGGGAAGAGTGAGGGGCCTTGAATGCTGAGCCTTTTCTCTCTCAAACCTCCCTCCTCCTTAGTTTCAGAGCCGGATCCAAGCGTAGAGAGCCATACCCGGAAGACGGTGCTGATCAAAACCATTGAAACCCAGGATGGAGAGGCAAGTCAATGATCTGTTTATATGGGACATTTGTGTGAAAAAAGAACTCGGGGCAGAGGTGTGATTTTTAAGTTGTGGGGGTTGGACCTAAGCCTAGGGCATAGCAAAAAACAAAACAAAACTCCAGAAGCCTAATTAGAGTTTTGTTGTTATTTCAGTCAACCAAAAGAAATCTAATTTCATAAAATTCCCGAGGGGCACCAGATTGGAGAAGGATTGCCCTGTGCTGCTCTCACCGCCTTTTCTCTCCCTGCAGGTGGTGACCGAATCAAGGAAGGAGCAGAGAGCCGAGATAGAGAAGTGAGGCTGGCCACGCCGGCAAGGTCCCCCGGGGCCACTGAGAGAGGCACTAAGCTCACCTCTTTGCAAAAGTCCCAGTCGCAGATCCCCTCTTCCCTCACTAAGCCACACTGGCCTTATTTACGATGGTGATGTTGATGATACCTCTTACCACTGGCAGCCTTCCCACATTGTTCCGGGCTTCCTGAGCCAGCCCTCTGCCCTTCGGACCATACCCTGTTCAAAGCCTGGTGGTAGTCCCAGCAATAACCACCAATGGTCTTGGGAGTGGAGATGGCTTCCCCCTGCTCTTTTCTTCCACCGCCTCCTACCTCTTCGTATCACATTCCTTCTCATCTCTCCCTGCAAAGAGCCCTTCTCCAACCAGTACCCCCAAAACCAAGCTGCCTTCCTGTAAAGTACCACTCACAAAGTCAGCCCACCCTAGGAACGAATTTGCCATGTATGTTTAGATTGAATCTAAAGGCTGTGGCCTTCCAGCTGTTGTGGAATTAAAACTCCCAGCCTCCTAAGTCATACAGAGTGTTGCTGGGACTTGTAGTTTAGCAGTAACCGGAAGGCCCCAGGGTTCCCTAACCACTGCCAAACACTTAGATGGCTGCAGGTTGGCAAGCTCTGACAACTTGCAAGGCCCACTAAGCACACCAACTTGGAAGCACCAAAGAAGGCCAGGAGCTTGCTCACAATCTTGTTTTACTGCTCTTGTTGAATCTAAACAGTCCTATGTGCTGGCCACAGACACCTCTCATGGTTTGCAAAGATCTCCAAGAGAATCATGATAGGAACTTGCTTTATCCCAGGTGTGATAGGCTTGGCTTCCCTATCAGTTCTCACTTCTGTGAACTTACTTTGAGAAGGTGCATAGTTAGCTTCAGGTCATCGGTACTGAAAGGGAGAATAGCACTGACCAACTTTATAGGGCTATTGTAAGGTTGACAAGGTAATGCAACTAAAGCATTTTAAACATTAAATGGTAACCAGTGTTAATTTCCTCAGTTGTCAAGCCCCAATCTGGTGGTCTCCAGATGTGTTGACTCCAATTCTCATAATTCCTAAGCAGCACGATGCTGGCTGGGGTTGTGAGAGTTAATTAAATGCATCAAGGGAGTGTAAGTGGAGAAATACTACTTCAGATCTTCTCAAACAAGCTCCCAAATGAAGTCATATAAAACAGATGATTCATTGCCTGTTATTGTTTAAAGCAAATTTTGTAAGGGAATCTTAAAAAAAACAAATCTCCAAAATAAGCCTTTTTGACAGTTAGTGCGTTGTTTCCCACTACTGAAGGGTGCTAGTGGTAATTTTAAGAAACTGATCCAGTAGGTGTTTACTCAGAAGCCTCAAGCCTTTCTTAACTGTTTGACTTCCTTCCATTCAAATATGATGTTTACTTCACTTTTAAAAGTGATGTCAACTTTGCTTTCTAAGACAGAAGTGAAGCTAGAAAGCTACCTTAACGCTTGAAATTGTGAGTCATGGGGAAGAGAACATTTTCCTGTTCAGCTCTTCAATGCTCCTCTATCTGATAAGCAACTTTTTTCTGCTCCCTTTCTGGGAAAAAGGACCAGGACAGGTTGAGATCACCATGGAATTCCCCTTCATCTGCACGGCATATAATTAAGGTTTGTGCAGGCAAAGAAAGCAGATGAGCAGCTCTAGAAATCTGAAAAACATCAAACAATTGCCTTTAATTCACAGGGTCAAACAAACTGCAGAACAAAAAAAAAAGTAAAAAAAAAATGCCTACTTCCAGTGGTGCTGACTCATGGCCTTAATAAGCAGCGATCCCATCATGCGTGAAAGGCATCCAAGGCTCCCGTTTAGCAGAAGTGGTCACCAAGAACTCAGTGCAGCTCCTGAATCCCTTGTCTATGGTCTTGAGAACCCCAGGGACTGTGTGAATGCAATCTCAGTTGGATTCCAAATGGCCAAAATGGGAGTGGTATATCTTCCATTTGATTTAATATAAACCCAAATGACAAAAACACCTTAAAAGGCTATAGTCCTACTTTACCTTCTGATCCTATTGTCATAGGATCAGAAAAAAGACTGGACAGTATCTCTTCTTAAGAAGAACCTGGACAGTCACTTTTCTGAAATAGCATAGGATCACCTGTTTGATCAGGGGGCTGGACTAGAAGACCTCCAAGGTCCCTTCCAGCTCTGTTCTGATTCTGATTCTGATCACATCATGTCCTTGTCTACTTATTGCTCTCAGACTACTGCCTATCTTTCCTTCATGGCATCTGTGGCTTCTCATAAGACAGGGGTGTCCCAACCTTTTCTATACCCCGCACCCCTAGAATGCTTCTGATATATTCTCGCACCCTTTACAAAAATAAATAATTATATGCATATAATTATGCATATACACTATAATTTTGAAACTTCTAAACCCAAATTTTCGCACCCCCTGGGATATCATCTCATGCACCCCACCCTGGTTGGGAACCCTTGTCATAAGAGGTAGCACCAAATCCATCTTTCTTTTCTCAAATCGACATCTTCTTTCACACCTTGTCTTTTTTTCCAACAATCTGAGGGCTCGTCTTTTCTTTCCTCTTATCCTGCCTTGATATTCCAGATGTCATCTTTTCCGATAAGAGTATGGTAACCATTGCATTTCTGCTACTAACTCCATTCTTGTCATCCCTGAAGGTAGGCCAGGGCAGGAAGCAGAGCCCACCAAGACTACAGGAATTACTGTTGAAGTTATATTAATAGATTCTTGAAAGACTGACAGATTTTTTTAACTCTGCTTCTCTTGTCCCAAAGAGAATCTACATGGGCCTAAATTTTCCCCCCCTCACCTTTCATCTTTAAGTAAACAAGTTGATCTTTACTCAACTATTCTTGCTTTTCTTTTTCAAGTTTTATTTTCATATTTCTGTACATTCTGTATCTTACTGGAAGAAAAAAAGCTACCATGGAGGCTTTCTACCTTAAGGTACAGTCAGGAGTCATCTTGATAAGGAAGAAGTCTTTGTCTTCTCATTTCTCCAGATTTATTCCAGAAAGAAGGAAACTTCAGGGAAATGCTTCTCTGTGGACATTTGGTTCATCCCTCCAGTTCTCTCAGACCAAGAACCAGCCAACTTTTTAATAGGTGGGGCTGATACTTATTTTTATTTTAACTAAAGAACACAGAATGGAGGGCAATTATAGAATAGAGGAAGCTAATTTTTGAAGGCGTTCTTTTGAAGTGCCATCTTTGCTTGGTTTGAATTGCTACGGTACCAAATCATACGGTACTGAGGGAATCATAAAATGGTACTTGAGCTCCTTATAATCTACACATGGACCGTAGGATGGAGTGATTATATTTGTCTTTGGAGATAGGAATTTCTGAAACCGAAAGTCTCACTTAACCTTGATGACTTCTTCAGTGAGTTAGCAGCTGAAGTAGTCTCTATGATTATACTTTCTCCTGTGATTCCCCCCTCTCCCATCACTGTTATTTATTCTTGATTTCTTAAACCTCATTAATGGTCCAGTAGGGATGTTGATTCTTTCCTTGAAAATCAGTAAATGCTAGAGCTACGGAAATTCTTGAAATCTGGCTCTATTAGAAGTTACTTTAATATCAGCTTTAATTGCTTAGTTGAGGTTAGGTAACCTCTGCCACATAGAAGCATTTCAGATCATGATTGCTTACAGTGGACAGCCCAGTTTCCCACCATTTTGTTATATGAAAAGACCAGGGAAATTATCAGAATAGGCATATTGGGGAAAGAAAAAAAAAAGAATCCTCCCCTTTGCACCCATGATACAAAGGAGCATTGAGTGCTGCCCCTTGGTGGCCAAAGGCGTAACTCACTTCTGATAAGAACTAACTTATCTGATTCAAGACAGATTTGAAACGCAGAGGAGTAGCACTATCAGTATTTAAGCTATTTTCCACTTCTATCTATTGTGTTTGCTTGTGGTCCATGTGCCTTGGTCTATGTGTAGCTCTATACTCTGGGTAAAGAACTCTTTACACCTGGTTGCAGATGCTATTTTGCATGTCAATATCTTGACTGGTTATTCCAGATTACTTCAGACCAGATCCCAATCCACACCGCCTCCTCCTCTATTTTCCCTTTCAGCCAGAGCCAAAAGTTGACTGGTATACTAGATCAGCTGGGCATCCTTTCCCTGTTGCTTGTTGAGTTCTTTTGTTTTGCTGCTTCCTTCGGTGTCTTGATATCTTTGGAGTTGCCAGATTTCCTTACAGATGAATATACTAGTTTCTTAAAATATTGCTAAAACAACTGGGACCTGGCCCTCTTAAGGAGGGGAACAAGCAGAAGGTCAGAGAGCAGGGGAACACTTGCCTGGAATCTCTTCTCTACTAGCTTTTTGAACCCTTGAATGAGTTCTCAGTACTTATGCACACGATGAAAGCAGAATACATTATGTTAAATGGAAGTCAATATGGTACGAATAAGGTTTTCAAATACAATATTTCTCATCTCTTAAATCATACTTCCGAATCCACACAGTAATTCTTACAATAATTCATATAAAAGATAATTTGCAAAAGGACTTGGAGCTTGTTAGAGAGAGTGTTGTATAGCAGACCAAGTACCAAAAACTTAAATGAGGACATCAGTAATGTAAGGTGGCCCAGAAGAGACATTGTGAGGAAATCCATTTCCAGTTAGTTTCTTCTATAAACTTGAACATAGAAGTTCATCTAAAGAAAGAGATGCTTGTAGTTTTCAGTTGAGGTTCCTTAACCTGTGGCTCATACATACTATGAGTGACATTAGCCCAAAGGATGTTTGTTAATGCATTTAAGGTTGTAGCTTTCCTATTAATTTCACCATGACTGAGGCATCAAATGGATAGTGATAGCTCCATCTTAGGGTTGCTAACTTCTATTGATCTTCAGTGGGTGCTTCTTACTATTGTTTAATATGCAAAAATTAAACTGCAGAAAGCTTAACTGGCAGCAGCTATGTCTTAGAGTCAGCCAATCATATTGAATCAGACAACCTTAATTTAATTGCAAAAAATACTGAGATAGGTTATTCACAATTGAAAGGGGAAGCAAGCAGCTAGGAATTAAGCATCTTTCTTCCTGAAAAGAATGTCCAATTGAGCACCAAAATTGTACATATGGAAATAAGATCATAGCTTTTATCCTCAGTCCGGTGATTCCAATTTTAATACCTCTATTATTGTCTCATTTTGTTTACATTGCTTTGGGAACTTTTTCTGGCACAATAATCTCATTATTATTTATAACTTGATTAGAATATTGTGATAGTACTTTAAACCATTTTACTTCATCCTATCCTGTCCTTTCTATCACCCCAAATCATGGCTAATCCTCTTATAAACATCTATATTATTGATGGTAATTATATGTATTTTCATACATCTTGCTCCTCCTCATTTTTGAGCTACAGGCAATAAAGTATGTAGCTTTGTAAAAAAACTTAACAGAAGCTCACAAGTCTTCAAAATATTTGCCCAGTAATAGGCTATTGAGATAGCTTTTCCTGTCGTCTTCTGTATTACTCCAAAGGCTTTTATTTCCAGTCTTTAAGATCTTTTGTAACTTTTTTCTCTCTCAGAAGGACAAAGAAAATTTGTAATTTCTCTGTCCTTCTGTTGTTAAAATCAGAAATTGAACTGCAACCCTATTACAGTATTATTCAAGTTTACTTGTACGAATTAAAGGAAACTTTCAAGATTGTTTCCCTGATCCCATTTTGCAACAAGTTCAGTAACAGCTTGCTTCAAATATGCTACCTGCTGCACCTTCAGGATCAGTAATTTCTAGCTGACTTAAGGCACAGATGTCTCTGGTCGTAGACCTGCCCACTGCCAAATCCAATTTAATGATTCTGCGGGAAACTAGGACACTGCCTTTCTGGTTATTTTATCTTTTTACTTATATTTTTCCTTCCCTGTTGAGGAACAGTTTTAAAGTCTCAGTAGCTACATTACTTCAAAGCAGGAAAAGAACAAGTTGATGACACAGGAAGTACACAATGTCATGCTATCTAATGGACCCTTCCACCACCACCACAAGTCTGGATCATCAGCCTATGTCCAGGCAGAACCTCTCTTTCATTTCGCCCTTCCAACTTTTGCTTCTTGGTGTTTTATTTTTTGTGAGTGTGTAATTGAAACAACTTTATTATATGCTATCTACACGAAATTAAATTTTAGACCATTATTGAAGTTGGCTTTCGTTGTAAAATACAAGAAATTTTTCCCCATGAGGACCACAGCATTTCCCCCTTTTCCTAGCCAAACCAATCCTACAAATTAACTAAGAAAATAAAGCATCATTTGATAGTAAGCAAGATGGCTTAAAACATTGAGAAAACAGCAGCATTGTTTCCTTGCACAGATAGATAAATTTTGCCAGTTTTAAAACACTTAAGCTTGAAAGTGGCTATTCCATGGCTCAGGATGGGTTCCAAGCCTGAGATTTTTCTGGCAAGGCAGGAATGGCATTGAAACAGCTTCAACACACTTTGATGTTGCCATGTCTTACACAGCTTTACTTCTTGGCCTCCCAGTGTGCATTTCCTTGTAGAGAGCAGCATACAATACTCATTTCGGTACAGGGTGTAGGGGCCTAAATAATATTTCCTGTGATCGGTTCCTTATAAATGGCTCTGGCACATTACAGAACTCCAGTTTGGATTCCAATAACTTTGCACCTTCTCCCCTTTATCCCAAAAATAAATGATAGGTTTTTGAAAAACTCCGGGCTTATCCTTTATGGGCTTTGGTACCAATTTCCTGCTTTTGATAGCTGTCAATTTCCATGTTCCTTGCAGAGCTAGACAGTAGAGATTCCTGGTGCTAACTCTTCCCATGCCAATGGATCTCTGCACCGCTCCTGCTATGCTATGCTATGCTATGCTATGCTATGCTATGCTAATCCAGTCGATCCCAGTTCCTGCCCTTGGATATCCACATCAACTGGCTCTCCAGCACACCTTTCCTTGCAATTAGGCTTGCTTTATTAAATATCTAGCTTGGGGAAAGATGATGTAGTTTGCCCAGGTAACAACTCAACCCATTACAGTACATATTCTGGTGAAGAAGCAGGATACATGGAGAAGCAGGATACATGGAGGGGTGGCAGTCATTCTGTTCCTGGTGCTTCCTGATCTCTCCTGAATAATGTTGGTTTTGTGATGCCCATGGTCAATGTGTGGAATAGGCCACGTATGCTTTGAACCAGCCAATAAATTTAATGTGAAGAGTGCCTTGCTGCCTGTTTTTTTGGGTGGGTGTATTTGTGTTTTCAATGTCAACAGACTCTTCCCCGCAGAACTCCATGCGCTGGTGCTGTTTGATTTTGTTAAAGCCAGGAGGATGCTGAAAACCTCTAAGAACTTTGCCTAGATTTGTCAAGCAACCCAAAAAGGACATTAATTTTCTCTACCATTTAAAAACTTTTCTGTGATCTGATTCATGCATTGCACTAAGCCCTAGCTTCTAATGGTTGCACATGTGAACCCAACCTACTGAATATTAGGTAATAAACCATAATTAAAAAACCATGGCTTGACATAATAGTGAAGAACTGTCTCTTTCAGTTGAATAGTTCAAAAGTTGCACAGAAAAGACCTTGAGCAGCACATATGGTCCCAAAGCAGCCAATCCAATAAGTTGGCTTAACTCCATGATTAAATACTAGCTAAACTACTTTCTGTAAATACTGACTTAACAATAGTTACATGTGGCTTATAAAGCTCCAAAAGCATCAAAAATGTAACGGTTAAAAATCAAACATATGAATTATGCAAAAACAGTGAAGGTATAAAAGCTTTGGCTTTATGCTGTGCTTTAGAGAAGATACTGGAATGTCATCCTCATCTAATGGGCAATCTGAAAAAAAGGTCAACATGCATCTGATTCAAAGCCTGCAGAGAGATTGAAGCACACCTGAAAAAAATGTGATGTCATTTTAAAAACAGTTTAGCATGAAGCAAGGGTTGGGTTCAGTGGTCCAGCTGCTTGGATTATAGGCTATTGTTACTTTTGCTTGGCAAAAACTTTTAAAAACACATTTGATAAGCAGCCAAAACCTAATGAAAAGTGATCATTAGTATGATTTGGTCTTCAGGTATAACCTCTTGGAAGCCCTGGTTTTATTTTCACTTATTAACAATAAGGTGCATCTGAAAGAAAATGTTCTGATTCAAGTCACATGCACAGCAATAGGTGCAAGTGGAGTATGTCTATTGCACAACTCTACGTGTTATAGCAATATCCCCCAAAATCACCCAGGTCACAAACTCCCCTCCCAAGCAGTTTAGTGAGTAAGTCCAAGCACACACACAGGAAATTAAAGCAATAAGTTGTCAGGCAAATGCCACCCCCCTCCAAAGAAAACTCCCTGAGGCAAGGCCAAATCTAGATGCACATCCAAGTCCCAAAAAAAAGCTAACAAGATAAACACAAGGATCACAGCACAAAATTAGGATACAGGAGCCAAAGAAAACACTCAGGAAAAACAAATGATTGTCTTCATCAACCACTCCTTCCTGCATGCTACTAATCATCTCAGCTCTGCGGATTGGCGGGATCCGATGGAGGGGGGGCAGCAACTGTTCATGATGACCCTCACTCTGTCAAGGATCTTGGAGTACTCATATCTAATGATCTAAGTGCCAAAGCCCATTGTAACAACATCGCCAAAAAGGCATTAAGAGTTGTAAACCTAATCTTGCGTAGCTTCTTCTCCGGTAATATCACACTATTAACCAGAACATACAAAACATTTCCTAGACCAATTCTCGAATACAGCTCATCTGTCTGGAACCCGCACTGCATCAGACATTAATACAATTGAATGTGTCCAGAAATATTTCACAAGAAGAGTCCTCCACTCCTCTGCTCGCAACAAAATACCTTATGCCACCAGACTTGAAATTCTGGGCTTAGAAAATTTAGAACTACGCCGCCTTCGGTATGACCTAAGCGTAGCTCATAAAATCATCTGCTACAATGTCCTACCTGTCAATGACTACTTCAGCTTCAACCACAACAATACACGAGCACACAATAGATACAAACTTATGGTAAACCGCACCAAACTCAATTGCAGAAAATACAACTTCAGCAACAGAGTGGTCAATGCCTGGAATGCACTACCTGACTCTGTGGTTTCATCCCAACCCCCAAAAATTTTTAACCTAAGACTGTCTACTGTTGACCTCACCCCATTCCTAAGAGGTCTGTAAGGGGTGTGCATAAGAGCACCAGTGTGCCTACCGTCCCTGTCCTAATGTTTCCTCTATTTGTATCTATTTTATGTATCCAATCCATGCTTATACTTATTACCAAATATGTTCTTGACAAAAATAAATAAATAAATGATGAGAGTCAGCCTGTTACAGCCATATGGCAGCCATGCCTCTTCTTCCTCTCCAGCGTGTAGCTGTCTCCAGTGGTGGGATTCAGCCAGTTTGCACCACTTCGGGAGAACCGGTTGTTAACTTTCTGAGCAGTTTGGCACGCTGGTTGTTGGAAGAAATCATTAGAGTAGAGAACTGGTTGTTAAATTGCCTGAATCCCACCACTGGCTGTCCCATCCTATTGATCATGCACCCTTCCTCCGCCTCATGCCTGATGGATCTTAGAGCAGGGGGTCTCCAACCTTGGCAACTTTAAACCTGGAGGACTTCAACTCCCAGAATTCCCCAGCAAAGCAAAGCTGGCTGGAGAATTCTGGGAGTTGAAGTCCTCCAGGCTTAAAGCGGCCAAGGTTGGAGACTCCTGTTTTAAGAGTGCATCCTCCTCCACCCCCCCAGACTCTCTGAGTTGCTTCTGGGTGGGGAAAGCAACTTTGGCCTCAACTCCAGTACTCGCGAGCATCGCCCCACCCCCTTTTTCCCGTGGCTTAATTCTACGCCATTCAACGCCTCCCTTTGTCCTCTTCCGGTCTTGGCCCGCTCCCCCCCTCCCCCTGCCACTAGAACTCCCCTCAGTATTCTAGCCTCGCCTCCTGGCAGACCACGTGATCTCCCAGAAAGACCAATCGGCGCCTTCTGCTTCTTTATGAACTGAGCCGGCGGCTGCCCCTCTCTCGCTTTGCTAGCAGAGGGGATGATTCGGAGCAGGTGAGAGCAACGGGAAAGAAGGGTGACGCCCCCCCCCACCACCACCACTCTGGCCGGGGTGATAGAGAAGCATAAGCAGAGTTTACTTGAGAAGCCCCCCCTCCTCCCCTCCCTCTCTCTCGGGAAACAGGGTAGAGCAGACGGCGGGGCTGTAGCGAGACCGTTACGCTGACACCTTTCGCTGCAAACTTCGGTTTCCCCCTCGTTGCTAGGGGGGAAATGGGGCGGGGAGGTGCATTTATTTGTCGGGGTAACTAGGATGATGACTTGTCATATATAAACGCCACAAGGCGGGTTTTGTGGGTTATTCCCACCAAGCATTAATTGAGTTAATCCAGTTCCTCCTTATTCTCGAAGTTATTAAGTTATTAAGTTAATAAGTTCTCCTTATTCTCGAAGTTATTAAGTTAATAAGTTCTCCTTATTCTCGAAGTTACTGTAACATGGAACTCTAAGCCAGGGGTTTCCAACCGTGGCAACTTTTAAGCCTGGCGGACTTCAACTCCCAGAATTCCTCAGCCAGTTTTGCTTTGCTGGGGAATTCTGGGAGTTGAAGTCTGCCAGGCTTAAAAGTCCACCAGGCTTAAAAGTTGCCAAGGTTGGAGACCCTTGCTCTAAGCAAATCAGGATCTTTTAGTATATTAGTCTGTTCTACGGACTTGGCGTAAAAGTGCTGGGATTAGGGGAGGTGTACTTGACTGTCAAGTGCTAATGACAGTGGATGTAAACCAAAATGCACAGCAAATAAACGAGAAACTACGACGGGGGGAGGCATATTGGACTACTCGCATTGTATTCCACCTTGGTAATTGCTGCAGTGCTTGCTTGCTTGCTTGCTTTTGATGTAGGTGCAAACCCAGGCAGACAGGATCCTAAATGGCTCCAGTAGGAAAGGAAAACCAACAAGTGTCGTTGCCCTTTCCGAAGACCCCTGACAAACCAAGTTGGAAGGAAAACACTTCACTGGCTGCAGGCACTTTGAGCAGCAGCAAGATCCCACTGCTTTCCAAAAGCAGACATCCTCCAGAGTGGAGACAATCCCAGCCACAGGTGTGAACGTGATGGACTCGCTTTTGACTTAGGCTTGTGTGGTTTTAAGTTTCTGCTTCTGTTTGTTTTGGTACTTGGCTGTATGTTTCCTTATGAATCAATTCTACAAGGCTGCCCTGTTCAAAACAGTTCTGGGAAGTGTATGTACTATAAACTGGCCCAGTCCAAAAAACCCAAAAAGTGATAACCAAAAACTAATATACAATAAAGGAGAATATTTGTAACTCAGGGCTGAAATGAAGAATCCTTGGTGCTCGCTGAGCTTGAAAGTTTTCTTGTGGACATTTCATTACCCAAACCATTAGCTTCATATATGCTTCCCTTTGGGGAGCCACATTGAAAGCTCAGTTGAAGGCACCTCTTAATAACTTCACATCAATTCTGACAGTCGGGGAGATAATATGGTGGGAATCTGGGTCAGGCTATTCATAGGGAAGGTTGAGCCGTTGTTTGAAACCAATCCTGCCTGGACCCAGAATTCAAATTGGTAGATAATGAAGGGATTGGATTGCTTCTATTTGACCTCTCATGGGACTCCCTAGACTTCTAAGAAGCTCCAGGGAATGAAATGGCAAGACACACCTAGAGAACCACTAAAGAAAGATGAAGTAAAAACATGGGTAAGAGCCCATATTAGGACTCCATGCAAACTAATTAAGGCACCATTCTGTCCTGTTACCTGGGATGTTTCACCCAGAAATTAACAGGATTCTTAAGACTGTTAACTCATCTACCTGGCATTTAGGTCAATGCCTCTCCTGGTAGTTAAGGGGTCTGGAAGGTGGCTATCTCTGACCCAATGATGATAGACGTGTGTCCAAATCTGTTTCTAGAGAAGACTGTTGGGAAGGCAGATTGCAATTTTCAGGTGCCATTTGAGGTCCTCCATGCAGAGTGCTTTTCTTTCAATGTCATGGTGCTGTTTCTGTCCAACATTTGGAGCAGGGTGATTGTATTAAATAAAAATGCCGTACATCTTTGTACATCTTTAGCCATTATTAATAACAGTGTTACTGTACATTGCTAATGGTTGTGGATATATGATTTTTTTTTCCAGATGAGAAAATTATACAAAATAATAATTTCA